TAATATTGTCAAAATGGCAACATTCCCCAAAGCATTACATAGACTCAATGTAGCCCCTAGAAGGATACCCATGACATTTTTCAAAGAAATAGGTAAAACACTCCTGAAATTCATATGGAACAATAAACCCCCACAAATATCTAAAGCAATCCTTGAGGAGAGAAAGATGGAAGGCATCAACCACCCTTCCCAACCTCAAACTGCACTACCAAAGCGGTAGTAATTAAAACCAGCATGGTATTGGAATAAAGACAACCCCACAGACCAATGGAATAGAGCTGAATATCCTGCCATAGACCCTCAAGTATATGATCACTAAATCGTTGATAAAGCAGGACTGGAGCGATAGCACAGCGGGTAGGGCGTTTGCCTTGCACGCAGCCAACATGGCCGATACAGGTTCGATTCCCAGCATCCCATATGGTCCCCCGAGCACCGCCAGGAGTGATTCCTGAATGCATGAGCCAGGAGTAACCCCTGAGCATCACCAGGTGTGACCCAAAAAAGCAAAAATAAATAAATAAATCATTGATAAAGGAGCGAGAAACACCAAGTGGAACAAAGAAAGCCTCCCAATGAGTGTTGCTAGGAAAACTGGGCAGCTACATGCGAAAAATGAACTCAGGCTTCTGATGCCAGGCACAAAAATCAGATCAAAATGGATTAAAGATCTCAATCTCAGACCTGAATCCGTAAGGTATACGGAGGAAAACGTAGGCATGACACTGAAGCTAAAGGCATCTTTCAGGATCAAACGCCACTGATCAAGCAAGTGGAAGCACAGATAAACAAACAGGACTACATTAAACTAAGCTTCTGCACTTCAAAAGAAATGGTGACCAAGAAACAAAGACTGTGCATGGAATGGGAAAAATTATTTATCTGATGCCCATCTGAGGAGGGGTTAATGTCAAAGATATATAAGGCAATGATAGAACTTTACAAGAAAGAAAATCATCCGGTGCCATCAAAAAATGGGGAGGAGGAACAGAAACTTCCTCAAAGAAATTCAAATGGCCACAAAGCACAGGAAAAATGTTCTATATCACTAACCAGGGAGACGCAAATCTAGACAACAATGAGATATCATCTCATACCACAGAGACTGGCACACATCAAAAAGAACAAGAACAAACAGTGCTGGCATGGATGAGGTGAGAAAGGGACTCTCATTCATTGCTGGTAGCAACGTGGACTGGTCCACCCTTTTTGGAAAACAATATGGGCCCTCTATTCTAACTAGGAACAAAACTTTCACATGACCCAGCAATACCACTTCTGGGTATACCCCCGGGGGTGCAAAAACAAACTACAGAAATGCCATCTGCACTTCTTTGTTCACTGCAGCAGTATGCACAATAGCCAGAATCTGGAGAGCACCCCAAGTGCCTGAGAACAGATGACTGGAGAAAGAAACTATGGGACAGCCACACAACGGAATACTACGCAGCCACCAGGAAAAACGAAGTCATAAAACTTGCTTATAAATGGATGACCATGGAAAGTACCATGCTGAATGAAGTGAGTCAGAAGGAGAGGGGCAGACATAGAATGACAGCACTCATTTGTGGGATATAATAAAACAGAATGAGACTAATACCCAAGGACAGGAGAAACAAGACTCAGGAGGATTGGTCCACGGTTGGAAGCAAGACTCAAGTGCTGGAAGAGAAGGCAGTTGGGATAGAGAAGGGAGAATTATGAGAATGATAGTTGGAAATGATCACTCTGGATAAGTGCTCAAAGTGGGTAAAAGGACAACCATGGGGTTACCCTCAGCATCTATTTTACAAACCACAATGCCTAGAAGGCAGAGGTAGGAGGGGGAGAGGAGAGAGAGAAGGGGGGAGCAAGCAGGTGCTGGAGGGAAACTGGAGACATTTGTGGTGGGAAATGTACACTGATGAAAGGATGGGTGTTGGAACATTGTATAACTGAAACCCAATGGTGAACAGCTTTGTAACTATGTATCTCACAGAGATACAATTTAAAGAAATTTTTCTACTATGTTTCCTTTTTTGTTTCAATCTTTAACTTACCCAGAGATACACGTGGTATTAGATGTGACTATTCCCAAGAACACTACTTCTTCACTGGGCAATGCTCAGGGGTTACTCCTGGCTCTGCACTCAGGAATTACTCCTGGCGGTGCTCGGGGAATGCTGGGATGCTGGGAATCAAACCCAGGTTGGCCAGGGCAAGGCAAAAGCCCTACCCGCTGTACTATTGCTCCAGCCCCGCTAAAAGCTTTTTTTATTTTGTAGCTATTGCTCTATGCAATATTTTTCTTACCTTAAATAAACAGTTATGTTGATGCAGTAAATGCTACTAACTTTGCTAGGCCAGTCTTCAATCCAATAGCCCTACTAAAATCCTACTAATAGTTTCTCAAATTCTAATGGTTCTTGCAGGTACATGACATTATTCTAAAATATCTGCTTTGTGCAGAAATGAAAATATTTGTTTTCCTCCCTATCCTTTTATTTTTATCCCCTTCCCACACCCCCCCCACACACACACACGCAGAATGTCAGCCAGGATAATCAGGATAGCGTTAGCCAGATATTTCTTAACATATCCAGCAACACATGTACTAAGGGGCATCCTTATCTTAAATTTATCTAAAATTTCTCAATTCTCTGCCCAAAGTTTTCATTTGACCTCTATCTTGTCTTCTGAGCCTGTTAAGAGTTTTAATAATATCTAACTGAATTATTATTGTGATATACAATTAGTTTTTGTCCTTGAGACTATTGAGATAAATTTTGTTTCACATCTTGTTTTTGGTTAAACTTCACTGATCTTTAAATGAGATTAATATTGGTTTTGTTTTTCCCAGAACAATTTGAAAAAGAAATTATTAGTTGCATCCCTGGCACTGCAAAAAGGAAACCAGTAAATAGAATACTGGTGGGGAAGGGAGGGAGAGTAAATCTAGAGGACACCTTGGTGTGGTGGAAAAATCTTAGAGGGGAAATCAATGTTCACTATATAGACCGACAGATAGATTTTCAATGATATCAACTTGAAATTGTGTAAGATCATATTGCAGTATCGCCTCAATACAGGTAAAGGTAAAGGTAAAGGTAAAGGCCCTCCCGTTGATCGTCGATTTGCTCGAGCGGGCCCAGTAACGTCTCCATTGGAGACTTTGTTGTTACTGTGTTTGGCATATCGAATACGTCACGGGGAGCTTGCCAGGCTCTGCTGTGTGGGCGAGATACTCTCGGTAGCTTGGAGGGCTCTCTGAGAGGGGCAGAGGAATCGAACTTGGGTCGGCCATGTTGGCCGTGTGTAAGGCGAACGCCCTACCCAATCGCCTCAATACAATTTAACAAAATTATCTGGGTCCAAAGTTTTTGAAAAATTTGAGCTAATTATTAATTCAAGTTATTTGATTCTTCTGAAATCAACTTTCACACTTTGCAGTTTTCTAAGAGTTCAAACATTTCACCTAGACTTTCAAGCTGATTAATGTACAGCAATCCATAACTTATTTTTTAAAAATATTTTATTTGTAGTTAGCGCCCATTTCCCACCCACGGCATTTTTTTCCCTGGTCGATTTTATTGGTGATCTGTCCAGCTTAATAATCGTCAAGGAACAATCTTGGGCAAATCAATCTTTTGTCCTTAATTTTATTAATTTCTACTTTTTTAAGGTATGTGTTTAAAACTCTTCGATGAACTTTGCTTGAGCACTAAAACCAAAGTACTTCTGTCACTTGGATGTCACCCATCACTGTATGTTCCAGATCTGATTTCACCAAACAGACCTGAACATACAAACTACTCAATCTGAATATTCTTCTCCTGTAGACAAAGTGGGGAAATCACAGACAAAGTTTTCAAATACATAAGATCTTTCTCTTATGCAGTCTCCCGGAGGCAAATAAATTAAGACCGAGGGCTGCATCTACACACAAATGTGCGAGTCTGACTTAAACACACACATGTGAATCAAGGCAACTATTTCCCCTGTACCCCTAATTGGACAATAACCACTACAGCTGGATAAAATTAGTAACCGGGGATTGAAATCTCCAGTTGCTTTACTAGATGCCATTCAAAACTTGCAGTTATTAATAGGAGAGAAAAACCTGGCCGCGACGGGCAATTTTCATCCTCACCAGCTCTAATCCAACTCGCTGAAAGCAAAAATCGCTTTTTAATTTCCTAGGCGCGAAAGCAAGCGAGGCACAGATCCTGGGGGGTGGGAGTGGGGAGGCAGTTTCAATTACAGAACAGATTTGGGGTGTCTTTTTTTTTTTTTTTGCCTGCCACTGGGGCGTTCACTCCAACAGAGCGAGCACTCATTTCAAGCCCAAGAATTCAACAGAACCAGGACCATCGACACGTGCTAACGGGACCCAACCCGTCGGGGGAGGGGGGCGGGGGAAATGGGGGGAGGGGGAGGGGGAGGGGGTGTAAGTCCTCCTGGTCCATCCGGAGCTTCGAAAACGGCGGGTCGCGGCCGCCGCGCCCCCGACGGTTACGCCCGGACCCTTCCCGGGCGGGGCGCGGGAGGCGCGCGCCGCAGAGAAGGCGGAGAAAGGGGGGGTGCACCCACGACCACATGGGTCAACTTTCTCTCGCTCCGGCTGGCTGGCTGGCTGCAACGCGCGCGGGCAGGCGGCAAGCCCCCAAACAACGCACGGGCTGCCAGATGGCTTTCCTTTCTGGGGGGCTGCGAGACGCGCCCCCTCCCAAAAAAAAATAGAATAAATAAAATGCAAAAAAAAAAAAAACCAAAAGCGAGAGCGGGGGAAGAGGGAAATAAATAAATCCATTACTAATAATGAGAGGCCCCCTGATTCTCCCCTCTGCGGGTCTGCGGGGGAAACTTTCGGGGGCGGTGGGGGTGGGGAAGAAAAGCCGCGCGCCCCCTCCCCGGAGGCTCGATCGCCGGGGGCGGGGCTGAGGGGGGTCCCGGGCGCCGCCTCCCCCCGCCCCCCGAGGGCCCGGAACAAAGGCCGCGGGGCCGTCCCGGGCCGCACTCACAGAACTTGGAGGTGGAGGTGTTGATGTTGATGCTGGCGCCGGCGCTGGGGGCGGGGGCCGCCTTGGCCCCCGCCGCGTCGCAGCTCTTCAGCATCATGATCACCCCGTTGGGCTCGGGGGCCGCCGGCGGCGGCGGCGGCGGCGGGGGCGGCGGCGGCGGCGGCGGCGCGCCCAGGGCCAGCCCCTCCTTGGGGCCCTTCCTGTCCGCCGCCGCGCCCGCGGGCACCGCCAGCAGCTGCGCCCCGGGGGGCTCCCGGGCGGGCGCGGGCCGCAGCGGCGCGGGCGCCGGCGGGGGCTGCCGGAAGCCGTCGGCCGCCGCCTCCCAGTTGTTGTGGTTCTGGTCGTCCATCATCGCCTCGTAGCTGCCCCCCTCCTCCTCCTCCATGCTCTCCTCCATCCTGCAGGCCCCCAGCACCCGCCCGCCGCGCAGCCAGGCACCTGCCGCCGTCTCCCGCGCGGGCCAGGCGGGGCACCGGCGCCCTCCGCGCGCTCACATCGCCGGGGGCCCGGCCGGGCGCGGCGCGGGGCGGCGCGGCGCGGGGCGGGGGGCGGCGGCTCTGCTCGCCGGCCGGCCGCCCGCGCTGCCTTCGGGCTCCGAGGACTCGGGCTGACGGCGCTGGACGCTCCCGGGCTCGGGTCGGGGAGAGGCAGCCGTAAAGCGGCGGCGGCGGCGGCGCCCCTCACGACATTTTACAGCAGCCTCCCTCTCCCAGGCGGTTGGCAAGGGCAGCCAGGCGGGGACTCGGGGTGTGCGGAGTCGGGGGGGGAGCCGCGGGGGAGCGGCCCGGAGGGCACGTGGTGCGGGGAACGAGTCGCGAGAGAGCCGGGCGACACGGGGCGGGCGCGACCCAGCCGCCCCTCCCTCCCTCTCCCTCCCCCCCCACTCCCCCACCCCGGCAGCGCCGTCATAAGGCGCCGGCCCCGCCCCCGTCGCCCCCACGTGACAAGGGAGCGCGACTGCGCACGCGCGCCGGCCGGATGGTTGCCGGGGCGACCGGGCGCCCCGCGGACTCCCGAGATGCCCGGCCTTAGGCACGGGGCGGGGCGGGGGTGAGGGCAGTTTCGTGGTCTAGGTCCACCCCCCGCGCAGAGACAGCGCGTCGCACCGCGACCCTGGACGGGATCGGACTCGGGCCTCCGCCTGGATCCCGCGCCCGAAGCCAGACTAAAGGGCTGGACTAGAGAGCGCCCAGCCGTGGACGCGTGGGGCCGGCCACGGAAGGCCCCTCCGCGCCGCCCCACGCGGAAGCCAGATAAAAGTTAACCCGGTCCCGGCGCCGAGGGTCGCGCTGCGGGCGCCAGGGCTCGGGGTCTCGGCCGCCGTGAGAATTCCTGCAGCCCTGGGGAGAGAAGGGCCTTTCTCGGGACCCCCGCCGTGGCCCGGGTCCGTGCACGTTCTGCATGCAGGTTCTGATGTGACCGTGGAACTCAGCATGTGCGGGGACGCGGTCCAGAAAACGACCCGTTTCGGCCGGCAAAGGGGGGAAACCTGTGTTTCCACCGAGAGGAACCCCTGCAACCCGCGCGAAATTGCCTCCCATAGACTTCTGCGCGGGCTGTCGCCGCCGCCTCTCGGTTTGCCCGTTAGCACCCGCGCTGTGCTAAATGTTAGAATGCCTTAACCCATCAGAACCATTTCACTGCAGACCAGAGGCCCTCGTTTTGATCCATGGGTATAGAGTAGCCCCTCCGTTTAAGTCCTCTGACCCTGGAACAAAATTTGTAGTTCTGCAAGATGTCTTAGAAATGGTAAAAGAATTTTTTAAAAATGTTAAAGGAGGAAAAAATTGTACAACTAGAATTTCATGTTTGCGCCCCCCCCCCTCAAAAAATAGATTGGGGGTGAGACGTGGAAGAAGTCAAATTGCTTTTAGACAGTTCCCAGTGGAACTGGAGAACTTCTATCCTAAGCTGGGTGTTCCAGGAGCCTGGACATCTGCATAGTAAAAGTATCAATCCTCAAGCAAAAGAAAAGAAACATTAATGTTGTGTTCTAATATTTAAAAATATGAGACAAAAATGGGCACTGTTGGAGGGATGGGTATTTGATCATTGTATAATTGAAACCCAAGCACAAAAACTTGTAAGTCTACAACTGTACCTCATGGTGTTTCACTAATAAAAATTAAATTAAAAAAATATGAGGCAAAAGTTGACAAGTACAAGGAGAAATCTGGTTGACTTTTCACATACCTCCAATGCCAGTTGCAGTGGGGCGAATTGTAAAGAGACCTCCCTTCCTCCCTCCATGGAAGTTGTATCCCAAGCGGGCCATGAATCTACCCACAAGTGTCCTCATCAGAAAAAAAGCAGGGAACTTGATACCAAGGATATGGAAGCAGAGGAGACAGTGTGACCACAGAGTCAGTGACTGGAGGAAACTACTAAGGCTGAGAGGAGTCGGGAATGGATTCTCAGAGCCTGCAGAGAGGGCAGCTTTGGTTTCAGAGGTTAGAGGCTTCCACAGCTGTGAGAGAATATTTGTCCTTTTAAGTCACCCTATCTGTGGTCATTTGTTACAGCAGTCACAAGAAACTAAATACATAAATCAAGGAGCTACCACCCCCATCCCTGGACCCAAAAAAAAATCCTACAAAGGACTTGAAGATTTGAGCCACAGTTACCAAACTTAATTAATGAACACATCACGAACACTGCATTCAACACACACTTCTTTCAAGAATATGTGAAACGGAGAGCAAGTCTCTCTACATGTCTAATGACTGGTATCATAGCAACCACATTCTCTGACCACCGTGTAGTTAAGTTAGAAATCAATAACTAAAAGACAGCTGGTAAACCACCCTGTTTCTCTTCCGATCAACTCAGGCATCAGAAAATCATAATGGGAATTGGGAAACATTTAGGACTGAAAGCATGGTACTGTGGCAATATAATAAGGCCCTATTCCAGAGTTTTTATCCCATATATAAATACAACCACCACATGTATGTTGCCAAAATGATCAATGTAAGGCAGCGATTTTTGCTATAATTGTTTAAAAACAACATTATGGAAAAATCCAATGAGGACTGGGCCTAAGGAAGCAACTTACCATAAATAAGAATAAACAACACTGGAGCCTAAGAGATAGCAAGTAGGGCCCTTGCCTTCCATGTGGCTAATCCAGGTTTGATCCCTGGTACCGCATATGGTACCCTGAGCCCCACCAGGAATGAACTGTGAGCACAGAGCCAGGACTAAGCCCTTGGCACTAATAGGGTGTGCCCCCCCAACAACAAAGAAACCACCTATTGGGGGAACCAAATGGACATGTTGATAATTGGTTGATTTTGTAGATATGACACGTTCTTATATTAAAAGCATATCTTTTACTAAATATTAACTTAAAATCTTAGATGATTTAAGATTTCATAAAGTGTGGAGATCAGGAGTAACTACTAGTAACTAACAACACAGGACAATTATTACACAGGTTGATGTATGCTATATAGCCATAGTCACAGATAGTAATCTAGTTACCTTGTTTTACATTTTTTTAGTTTCTATTTTTCACTGGGCTGTGATTTTCATCAAATATATATTTCATCAAATACATCAAAATATATATGATGCAAAATACATGTGTACATTTGGATGCCTGAATATAAGAGAAATTCAAAACAACAGTTGTCTAGAGATAATGGGACTCTGGGTGGTTTTAATGAGTCTCTTAGTGTCTTTTAATGTTTTCTACATTCACACTAATGAGCAAGTACTTTCAAAATCAGAAAATAGTCCCAAACTTAAAGGATAAAATAAACACAAACAACAGAAGGAAGTATAAATTGGGATTCTATATGTTAAAATGTTTCTTGGGGCTTCTGGAAACAAATCTCAGTAAAAACCTATTTAAAAAAAAAAAAAAACCTAGTTTAACACCAAGGTTTTTTATGGCCTAACAGACCACTGCAGGCTAGAAAGGGCAAAGGTGAGGCCTGTTTAGTAGCCACGGCTCCACTTCTGGGCCACTCTCTTTGTCCTGATTTCTTTGGCAGGCTTCCCTCTTCAGGAAAAACAGTTCCCACAGCCCCTCGGCCTCATATGCATGGTCAACATTGTCCAGACAAGGAGGGCCCACGACTTCTGATTAGCTCTCTATTATGAGTAAGCGGGTTCTGTCCCAGAATCCCTCAGAATCCATCACACTCTTTCCTTGGCTTGATCCTGACCCAGTCCACCTGGGTCATTCCTGAAATGCATTCCTGAAGCATTTATTGGGAGGGTATAGATTTATTCCTGGGAAGTCAGGCCAACCCCTGGAACCCAGAAGGAGATCAGCTTCTCTTCAAAGACATACACTGACTAAAAAGGGAAAGGCAGATACATGAGTAAAAATTGGGGTCCGATTGGGAAGTTTAAATGAGTGAAGGATAGGCAATAATGCCCTTTATAGACCCAAAAATCTAATTCCCAGAAGTTTACCCATTACAGGACTTCAACCCATCCTCTCCATTTCTTCCCCTTCATAAACACATCCACAAGTAATATATTTATGCTAAATTGTGCATGTTCTGATTCGATATACCAAACACAGTAACAACAAAGTTCTCCAATGGAGATGTTACTGGGCCCGCTCGAGAAAATCGATGAACAATGGGAGGGCCTTTACCTTTACCTTTACCTGATTCAAATAAAGGACATACTTTTGTTAAACGAATTTTTAAAAAAAAATAAATATATAACCAATGGTTTAGTGTAACTTGGTGGGTGCAAACATAGTCTCTGTTAAAATGGCACTGTACAGCTTTGTACGACTTTAAATATCCAAATGCTGGACCAGGGAAGTAGCCCTGTGGTAAAGCATGTGCTTTACATGCATAAGCTCTGGGTTCAATTATCAATTCCACAAACATTTTTACATATAAAAGTATATATGTGTGTATACAAGTATATATAAGTATATGTGTACAAGTTATATAAAAGTATAAATAAGGACAAGCATATATATATGTAAGTATATATGTAAGTACATATAAGCATAATATACATATGCATATATCCTAATATCACCTTTCCTACATACTATTTTATATACTTGAAATATTACTTTATAGCTTTCTTTAGTCAACTCTTTTTCTGGCAGGGGGAGAGTTTGGGCTACCGAAGTACTCAGGGCTTACTCCTGTTTCTGCTCTCAGGGATCACGTGTGGTGCTCGGGACCATATGGAGAACACAAGGCAAACATCCTACCTACAAACAAACATTCTGCTGTACTAACTCTCTGGCCCCATTCTTTAGTCAACTCTTAAAATATAGCTTGTACTATGCGATATATTTTTTCCCTAGCAGAAAACAATTATTACTATTTTTACATTTTCCCATCTAATCTGTCCATCTGTTCTTGCTTTATTAGAAAGGAAATTGCCCAGAGTTAAGCAAGAGGAGGAAAGAAGAGAAGAATAATTATATGAAAAAAAATGCCT